AGTTAAATGACTCCGGCTGGGAGCTGCAACAATGAACCTTAAGTTTTGAGGCTTGAACAACGGATCAACATCATGGTACACAGGTATTTATCCCTAAGTCTGAGTACGAAGTGCTCAGCTCAGTGCACGGGCTCCGTAGCAGCGACAAGGATCCTGAAATACTTTAGGCAGATTTTTAACTCAAAATTTTGCCCGGGCAGCGCCGTTAGGGAATTATGTTCGATTTACAACGGCCAATGAATTGTATACGTGCGCAACAATACACACCAGCGCCTGATCTCACTACCCAGAGACGAGGGAAAATTACTACATTTCCAAAAGAAAAAAAAAATATCCCAGCCTTCACCGGGGCCTGAACACAGGATCTCTAGCACTCTTGACTGACACCAAACTTCGAGACCACACATTCCCTAATGAACCTCAGAGACTCTCAAAACTGGAGAAAAAATAAGGGATACGCAAACGTGTCCGGGAAAGATCTTCCAGCGGTATCCAGCTGTGGATGCTGGGGCTTCCTATTTGCAAGGGTGGGAGGGAGGGGAGGGAAGGATACACGACCTACAAGGATGTCGTACAAGGCGATGAATAACAGGTTCGCTGAAATCGGAAGGAAGGAGGCAACATTGGAGGTACAGAGCGACTAATCCTGGTTTGAAAAACAACAAGTAGCAAACATGACTTTTAGTAAGAGAAGGCTGTGGGTAAATATTTATGTGTGTGTGTTTGTGTGTGTTGCTGGTGAAAAAAGAGAGGGTTGGGGTGCGGAGTTTGCACCGTTGTTATGTGGTATTGAGCTCTGATTTGTTCCCCCAGGTTGGGCCTCGGAATCCTTACACGGTTGAAATCTGAATGTTGAATCGACATCACAGCATTTGGGTCAACACGCCCCCCCCCCTCTCCCCCTTTTCCCATCTTCAGCTGCAAGAGAAGTTTCAATTCTGATGCCAATCCGTCTCGATATTCCCCTGAGTACAAGGCGTCTGCCAGATCTACTAGTACCCCTCGAAGCGCGATTCTCCTTAGACTGTAAAGTTGAGTCAAGAATTGGGGGATTTCTTCATTCAATTTATCTCCCTGAGTGTATGTGGGGTTTTTTTTTTTTTTTTTCACACAAGGCAAAATGGACAAGAAGATAGGAAGATAAAGAGTGAAGAAGGCTTAGCTTCTAGGGGACATCAAAGCACTCTGCATACTCCCATACGCGCCCCGTACTCATCTTTAGCAGCCAGCGAAGAGTTGGAATACCTATGGTGGCAGTAGCAAGTTTATGTTATACTTGTCCTGCCCATTTCTCCTTCTTATATATTTATACCCACACAAAAAAAAGTTGGCAGACAACTATAAATGTAAAAGGTTCTTGCTGACAGAAAGTCAACTGATGGCCATTTTCATATGTTAATTATGTCACGTCAACTGACCTTGGTACATTTTTATGATCTTTGTGTTCACCTTGCATTTTGCCAGGCTCGCTGGCGAATAACCATAAAGGTATCATGTTTTGCTTAAAAATAGTAAGCTGGCGGCCATTTTCATATGGTAATTAAGTCACGTAAAATGACATTGGTAAATTTTTGTGTTCACCTTGTTGGAACGCACAAATTGATATGTATCTTGCCAGGCTAGTTGGCAGATAGCCATTAAAGTATAATTTTTTGCTGGAAAACAAAAGTGAGGGGACAGCCATTTTCATATGTTAATAAGCTGCACATTTTATTATATGTTTTTTTAAACATACATATACAGCTAGGTCACACTGCCCCGCTTCTAGCAATCAATGGTTGCTAAAGGTTTCGTTCAGAAACAAAATAGTTATTTCTATAAAATGCAAAAATTGAGTCATTTCATCTTACTGGGCCTCAGCCCGGAATTCATGTTTTGTCCATTTCCACTATAATTTGTCTATCGTGGAATCCGGCACTAAAATGTTAACATCTCTGCATAGAATCGACCTAAAGGCTTTAATGAGTTATCACTGGATTTGTAATTTTAATCTCTATCTATCATGGTTTTATAAGTGAAAACCTAAAATATAAAATGTCACTTGCATCCCTAAGCAAACGATTTGTAACAATATTTGCACACCGACTTCAGAATGAGTACACAAGCGTGCTATCTCGTGCTAGAAGGCGTGAGCCATGAAAGCGCACACAGCAGGGAATGTCATTTATTTTTCTGTTCACTGGTAATCTACTGAGATTTTATAATCATGTGTATGTTTTTTTTTTTTTTTTCACAATCTATAAGAGATGTTTTTATAATGTGACATTTTCGGTATTAACTTCGATGCTTCTGTCTTCGGTGAAACAGAAAAGACACAGCTAACTACACTCGGAGGAAAAGCAAGACGGACATAAAAACAGATTACAACCAGTACTATTAGTACTGAAACTCTGCGCTGGCTGCTGAAAATGAGGATGGAGATCGTATGGGAATACCCCGAGTGTTGTGATGTCAATTCTTTTGACAACTCAACGGAATAAACACACGGCCACCTAAAAAAAGCAAGTTAAAAGTAAAGATCTCTTTTCACACCTTTAGACGCATCGGGCATTTGGGAAGAGCTCTTATATTTTTACAGACCAATCGGCACTATGTGGGTAATGTAGTCTGCATTACGCCCGAAAAAGCAAGTTCCAAAAAAAAACAAAAAACACAGCTTACTTGTGATGTGTGCTTCGAAGTCAGTTGTGATGTTTCTACTGTTTATTGTGGGGCAACACTGCAGATATAAATAATTTATTTGAAGCCAACGAAAGAAGAAGAAGAAGAAGAAGAAGAAGAAGAAGAAGAAGAAGAAGAAGAAGAACAAGAACAAGAACAAGAACAAAAACAAGAACAAGAACAAGAAGAACAAGAAGAAGAAGAAGAATTGTGTCTTATGGAACATCCGCTCTAACAATTATATCTTACTAGGATCTTATCTGCCAGGGAAGCGAGAAACAGTATGCATATAATGCATCAATAAGCCGGGTCTGAAAAATTGATGAGTATGTAAATTTAAAGTTATAGAACAAAATCAAAGTGCAGAAGTTGACAAGCAACCAGAAATCTCCTTCAGTTCACGCAGTAAACACCAGGAAGCAAAAGAAGAAACGGATAATGTGAAATAACGTAACGGATTGCGACTTACAATTCAAACAATTATAAAACACCCTCAATAATTTCGTTCTATAGCATTTTCTTCTGAACCACAAAGAGCACACGTGAATATCTAGGCATGATGTTTTTTTTTTTCAAACGGGGTAAAACATGACGTTTTACTGTACGCACTTATGGATGGTGTGAACAACGGTTTGAACAACTGATCAACATCTCGACACAAGGATAGTACCATTAAGTGCTCCGTTCAGCTTCTAACTGAAGCCCGAGTCCGAAGAATCTCAGCGCAGTTTACGAACACCGTAGCATCGGCAAGGAACCTAAACTATTTTTAGGGAGATTTGTAAGTCCAACTTTTGCCCTGGCAGCCCCCTTAAGCTACTCTATTCGATTTTCAGCTGCCAATGGGATTTTCTACGTGCACAACAATACACACAGGCGTCCGGTCTTACTACCCAGACCACAAGGGGAAATTACTTAAGAAGTCCACGTGAAAAAATGTCAGCATTCACAGGGCCTAAACCCCGGAACTCTAGCGCACAAGGCGGACTCCATGCCTCGAGACCACTTAGCCCCCTTAGGGATATGGAGTTAAGTCCCTAGATAGACAGTCATCTGGAATACAGCAGTCCTGTATGACCGCCTAAGCTCGTGGATCTACCAGCCATGAAGTATCGCACCTGCCTACACCAGGGTTCCGTCATTTCCCGAGTGGTTTGCAACGCATACACAAGCAGGATAGAGGCAACAGAGACAGTGGTTATAGGCCACATCTCAACATTGCTGACGATGTCTTAGTCTACATACAGGAAAGCAATAGAGACCGAGTCCCTTTCAGGCAGACCATGATGAGAGCGACGTTCTGCAAAGGGCCTGATACATGATGATGATGATGATGATGAAATGTTCATAGGTCTGACTGTGATCTCCCCTATGTCTTCTCTGTGAGCCTCGTGGTCCACTGCACAAGATGGAAACATCTACAAAGGATTCTAGTTATTAAGAACTATGAAGCGATGCTACCTACTCCGTACCAATTTACTTTACCACATTTTAATCATGCCAGCTCGCTGACCACGAGACTAAACATTTTAGGTGATGTCAGTTTTTCCCGTGCGGGTTAGTCTAGGTGCTTCTGCATGAGACGCGAAGACCCAACATTCTGCGTTCAAAAAAACCAGGTCTGTAAAACCGATGTGCACACAAAATTCATGTTATGGAACAGGGCTTAAGTTCAGAAGTGGTCGAACTATCAGATTGTACCTCTGGAGTTTACACCGGTGAACGATTAGACGAAACTACTCTCTTTAGGCCACAACTGGCACATAGAACTATGGGTATTCGTATACATGTTGGGTTTTCTCCAACTAGACAAGATCCTGGCATATGGGCCAATGGTATTTGTATACATGAAGGGTTGTCTCCACATAGAGAAGATTCTGGCACATGGGCCAACGGGTATTCGTATATATGTTAGATTGTCTTCACCTAGACATGATCCTGGCACATAGGCCAATGGGTATTCGTATATATGTTGGGTTGTCTTCACCTTGACATGATCCTGGCACATAGGCCAATGGGTATTCGTATATATGTTGGGTTGTCTCCACCTAGACATGATCCTGACATATAGGCCAATGGGTATTCGTATACATGGTAGGTCTTCACCTAGACAAATTAGGATTATCTCTGTTTTAAGTTAAAAACCGTTGCATCAGCAGCCAAGCATCTGGCAACTGCAGTTACCCACCTAACTGCACTTTTATGAACTGATGATAAAAATGCAGTCCCTTATGAATAAATGAACATGTCTGTCTATCTAAGTTAGTCAGTTATATTTATGACATGCTTCCATTGACTGTTCCAGCACTGACATATTTGGAGACAAGCTGAGGACAGCAATGTCTTTCCTTATTGTTGTTGTTGCTGTACTCATACCATGGAGCTGTAAGTGCTATTTATATTCATATGTGTGACCCATATGTTGTTATACTGCATGTTTGAAACAGGAAAATTATAAATTCCTTCTTTATCTTCTTAAACTTCATACCGCATGGCATTTCTAGTCATGACCTTCCACAACCGTCTGTCTCGTGTACTTTCAATCATTAGAAGATAGACGATTACCCAGCCCATGCGTCAAACCGCCCAACAGTCTCTCGTGATCTGTCCGTTCTATCTCTACACCTCTAGCTCTCCCGCCGTTATGACATGCCCCAGTGTTATCCTATTCATAATTTTACCCCAGACCCCCCCCCCCCTTTCCCCCCAAAAAAGATTGTCTCTTTTTTATGGTAGTAGTTAGTTCTTTTAGCTCAGTAATCAGTAATAACGACCACAGAGGCATGAATAGGCTTCATCCACCGGGCCCAAATGCACAGCACACAGTTGGTGACGTGATTGGTTGCACTGATTGAGTTTGCCTGACCAAACTTCAGATGTTCAAATCTACAAGATCTGTTGGCTGGTGAACATGAACAATTCCCAGTAGACACGGCACTTTGTTTAGGACTCAGAGAGTCAGTGAGTGTTCGGGAGTCACTCAATATCCTGATGTGCTGGCTGGCGGTCGGTTCACAGTGTCGTGGCAGACATCCATAAGTATCTCACAAAAACACCAGGTCGCTTCTAATTTGTTTTCTTCTTTTTCTGTTTAAGGATTCAAGTTGTCGATCTCTAATACCTGTAGATGTAGGTCACATCTCTAGTAAACCCCCCTAACATAGTAGACTTCCCCCGTGTTTGGGGTGAGCTAAATTGAAAGTACTTTATTATCATATCATATTCAGCATGCTATTGATATATGTATGCATCTATCAATGGCTACATTATTTTAGATGACCCCATCTTGTCGGCTGTGAGATTTCGTAGGCAATTTCTAAGGATTTGCCTGGACTGTACCATATTATAACAGGGTTACTGTTATGGTTAGTGTTAAACGACTAGCCACTACTACTGACCATAACCCTAACCCCCCATCCTACTCCCCCCCCCCCTCTTTTTCAATATGAAAAGTTCTGCGTATTTCCCCAGCGAATTTTGAAGCGGACAAGATGCGGGCATCTAAAATTAAAGTACCTAGCAATGATTAAAACTATTATTCCTTTCTGTATTTATCCCTTTTATGGAGACGTGGGGTGAATTTCTTTTAGTTCACACCATTTTTGGGACTTTGAGGGAGTTTCCGGCTGTCCAAATTTTATTGGGAAAGGTGGGTGAGGGGTAAGGTTAAGATAATTATTAGTCGATGTTCATTTCACCCCTAACACCCCTATACTATTGGACTTTCCTTGGAACTCCCAGCGAAACCTCTAAATGGGGTGAATTAAAAGACACAAAGCGGTGCGGGATATTGGATGGGGTCTTAACTAGAGAATCTAGAGCCGCCCCATGACCAGTGCACTCGTCACGGAATAGTTGTCGGTGAACATTTTATCTTTCCCCCAAATATATATATATATTTTTTCAAATCACATCCCATTACCGAGGAATTGAACCTGACATTCCCGAATAAGGGCCTGGCATTCTTAATGGCTCGGCCCTCGCCAGAAGCTGCACGGAGGTTTCTCGCAGGTCGCTGCTATTGAAGCCTTACTGTGTCTTTTGGAAAATGGTTCTGTTGATACCCACAGGGTGCGGCCCGGCAGACATGTTGATGTGTTACTTCCAGAGCGCATCTCGTCACAGAGCAGCCCACCTTGCCAGGTTTGAGGTGGAGCATATAGACTTCAGCCTGTGTACACACTATATTTATGCCAGCGCGAAGATTAACAACGATACTCATGAAATTGCATCCAGCGATCCCCAAGCAGAAGAAGGACCCACTGGTCTGTACAGGTAAGAAAAGTCGCTTGATGACGACCCACTGGTCTGTACAGGTAAGAAAAGTCGCTTGATGACGACCCACTGGTCTGTACAGGTAAGAAAAGTCGCTTGATGACAGGGCCAAAGCTCTAAGTTCTTCTTTCTTATTCTCTTCCACCTTGTATCTCATCGAAGTGTCAGGTGGAGATGTAATGTTCGTTGATGAGCTCTGTCAAGAGCACTATTAAGACCATGTTCATTTCTGTAAGGCTGTTCCTAATGCCATCACTCCATATTTTGCGAGGTCTTCCACTCGCTCTATGCCCGTTGTAACGTTTTAGTGTGGCTCGCTGTGACAGATAGTACCAGGACATTCTTGTTGGGTGTCCAAACCACTTTATCTGTTGTTCTTTGATAACCTGTAAGACTGGCTTTATTCCTAGCATTTGTCTGATTTCATGATTTCATATTCTGTCTTTCCTTGAAACTCCTGCAGCTCTTCTAAGGCATTTCACCTCTGTTGTCACAATTTTACGTTCATTGGAGGATGTAAGTGTCCACGTCTGGCATTGATAGCATAGAAATCTCTAAGTAAATAGTTAATTAAATTCGGTTCGTTTTGAGAAGAAAAGCCTTTAGTACACGGGAGTTGTTTCATTAACGTGTTAAATTCTTAGAAACGTAAGCTCTGATGAAATAATGAGTTGGCCCGAAAGAGTTAAAATCACAAAAGTAATGCAATGGGAAAAAGACACACAAAATGGTGGGGTCCTGTTTACGTTTCCAGGCCTTTCTGCACACTGACCGTCGATGGAGGGTCACGTGCTTCTCGCTAGTTACATCAGCGCTGATGTCGCATGTTCTATTTTACACGACGACACAGCTTTTAATTTCCCCTAGAACATGTTGAATTGGCCATATCCCAAACGCCCCTATCCACAGCCTAAATCTAGGTCACACGAGAGACTATTCGAAGAAAGCAGTACAACGTGACACTCCTATGACCTAGATCAGACTAAGAAAGTGTGTAGAAAGTCCTGGAAACGTGAACAGGTCCAAATGTGGCAAAGATCACCCCTGATTGTTACAATATTGTTATTTTCTCGTATTCATCTTCTTCTAAGTTTAAGTTGTCCAACAATCTACCAAGAATTGTCTTTTTTTTTTCCTCTTTAAATATTTTAACCCACCGCAAGTTAGATAGTTTGCTAGTTACCATCTTACACTTCTAACACAGAATGACACATCATCTTCAAGACGAGTCTGTTTTATTTTACAAGACTGATTTTGTTTTATCTGTGGAGAGTACACTTCGAAAGAAAAACACAAGAAACACATTACTCTTTTGGTGAAAAGACATATTTAATTTCGATTTCTAATGTTTGGAAGGAGCCTTTGTTGCTATTATTTCTGATTTGTCAATATGAAGGAGAGTAGCTGGGTGACATCCTTACGTTAGAATAAAGCATGTAGCAGAAGCTGCCAAATTAGAAGAGCAGTACTCCGTGAGTACTCAGTTAGTGCTCCGTCAGTACTCCATCAGTACTCCGTCAGTGCTCCATCAGTACTCCGTCAGTACTCCGTCAGTGCTCCGTCAGTACTTCGTCAGTACTCCGTCAGTGCTCCGTGAGTACTCCGTCTGTGATCTATCAGTACTCCGTCAGTACTCCATCAGTACACTGTCAGTGCGCCATCAGTACTCCGTCAGTACTCCGTCAGTGCTCCATCAGTACTCCGTCAGTGCTCATCAGTACTCCGTCAGTACTCTGTCAGTGCTCCATCAGTACTCTGTCAGTTATCCGCCAGTACTCCGTCAGTACTCCGTTAGTGCTCCATCTGTCCGCGAAGCGAAGCGTCCTCGCTTGACCTGCTGCCGTCTAAATGCCAATGGCCTGGTCTACTTTGCTGTAAAGTAGGTTCCAAGCTGCCTTTCATCTACCCAGGAAAAAGCTAGTATCTCCCCCAATCCGTTCCTCCTGTTGTGTTCGAAATCACGGTAGGGTATAGAGAGTAATGAAGCCGGGGCTTTGTGGATTATTGGTACACACGGGCATTCATGTTTATGTTGAGGGGTTTGGAGTGTAAAAACCTAAGCTAATTAAATATGGGAAACAGAGATTGCTTTATATTCACGGGTGGCTGCAAACTCCCCGAGTTGTGTGGGAAATGAAAGATCCACACCTGGCTGACTGCTGTGGCGGGAATGCGTTTTTGTGTGTGCGTGGGTCTGTCAGATTCAATCTAAGCGTGTGGACGTATGTGTTCGAATCGTTCGACTTCAGTGGAGGCGTGGACTCTGTTTTTAGCAATATTTTGTTCTGTGCAGACCACTGATGGATCCGAGTTGAGCTATGAATTTTAGACATGTGCTTTCGAGAATGGACAGTTGCGCCGCTGGAAAATTTGGCAGTGTTGACCAGTATGGAGTTGTGATGGAGAGGTTTCGGAGGCTGATTAACTGCACACAGTATTAGTTAGTGATGCTTCGACGAGCGGCTGAAGTAGCAGACGGGAGGTCTGGAGTCTTTCACCAAGTGGTCAATTTACCTTGGGTCATAGTTGTCGGGATCTTCTAGGCAGAACCATCAGAGAATGGTCTTTGCACATCACATAGGTGTGTCTGCGCTGTCGGGTGTGAGTCGCCGGTAGCAGGCACCTGGTACATAGTTCCCTGGGGTGTTCTATTCATGCCTGGAGAGACTGCTTATTTGACATTCAGTAGAAGCCAGTGTGCCATCGATCACCACTCATCTTCATCGCGATGTGTTCGTCCATAATAAAGAGACCGATCGTACTATGAGATCACACTTGGTGTGATTTATTATACAACAGTACTTGCAGACAATATAAGCGGTTAAGATAGGAAATGTTAACGTGCTACGTGTGTTTAGTATACACTATAATAACCATCAGCATGTGCCAGGCTAAGGAGTGTGGGCGGCCATGATTGCACCCTGTGTGTATGTGTTGAGGACACACGTTTATATAATCAAATCCCCTAGATACGTGGTCAGCCTGCGTTGCGATACATCCCCTGACCGCACGCATCAGTTCCTCTACCCGAAGCCATTGGTACAGTGTGGGGTATCAGGCTTGTGTGAATTACTTTGCTTTCTATGTCTATTTTAACTGGTGCAGAAATGTTTAGTCAAAGAAAGATCAAGGAAATTCGCCGCTTTAATAAAACAGCAGCGCCTATGCAATTGTAAATTATAAAAGCACAAGGACAAATGAAATATAAGGCCACTTGCACAAATTCATTCTGATACATACAGGAATTGTCGAGAAAGGAGTTAAAGTGTGGGTTCGGCTTTTGAAACTCACTTAATTGCAGACTGTGATGATCGCGTCCACAAAGTTGCATATACTGTTGTGGTGCGTTTGCATTTTGGTGCCGATATTCAAAGAATTATATCCCAGCTGGAGGGGAAAATAAATGCATACAATTATACATAAATATTTACTTTATTCTCAACATTATGTCAGATTTTCTTTCCTCACAACAAGCATTAAAAATGCATTTTTGCTTATTAGAGGTCTGAAAGGTTTGAGATTTGAACAACGGACCAACATCATGGCACAGGTGCAGTAACCCATAAGTGCTCCGTTTTCCCTTTTAACTCAAGTCAGAGTCCAAAAAAGCTCAGCACAGTGCACAGGCTCTGTAGCATCAGCGATGATCCTGAAAATACTTTACAGTAGATTTTTTTACTCCAAATTATGTCCGGGCAGCGCCGTTAGGCTACTATTTTTGATTTCCAACCGCCAAAGGATATTTTTACGTGCGCAACATTGCACATGGGCGTCTGATCTCACTACCCAGAGACCAGGGGAATAACAAGAAGTCCAAGTCCACGTAAAAAAAATACCAGTCCCTACCTGGGATTGAGGCTGAACCCCTGGCACTCGAGGCGGACACCATAGCTCGAGACCACGTGGAGTGGTAAAATAGGAAATGAAGAAGAAACACAGTTTTTTCGCACAGTTTTTCATAAATTAATTTAATGATCAGTGTGTCTGTCTATCCACAGAAGGTTTGTAGACGGGAAGAAAACAGTGCCTTCGATAAAGACAATGATATCCGTTGGAGGTGTAGAAAACAGCCCAGTTTCAATGTTTTCCCGTCTGGGACAGAACAGCGAACACATCAATCAGTTTGCCAACTCCGTGGTCCGTTTCTTGGTCCTGCATGGATTTGATGGTCTTGACTTCGACTGGGTTTATCCTTCTAATGCAACAGATAAGATTGCACATTCTAATATTCTCCAGGTCAGTGGTGCAAGCTCTACTGTCTGTTTATGTGTTAGGGAATGGCCTCCAAAGTTTTAAACCCCACCCCACCTCACCCCAACCCCATGTGTGTAGCAAGACACCCTGTCACCACCTACACCACTCCCTCTCACAACATCATAAAATGTGATAAAAGTGAACAAAGAGAAAAATCCCAAACACTGTTCACAATAACTGAAGGAAAAAAAGTGGCATTAATGAAAGTCACATAAGAAAATAAACAATCTCTAACCACTAGCAATTTTGTGTAGAAATTTCATTGTTATGGTTGAAACTGTTTTACTTTCACGATACCTGCTTTTTTATTTGTGGTCTGATATTTGGCAAGGGCCATAGTATGTTTCCACACTATTAACTCCCACCTAAAGGGCCCTCAAAACATCTCGCTTGTCAAATCAAGTGGCGGAGAACCGGCCAGTCTATCTGTCTGCTCGTTTCCAAAACAGAGACCTTGAGAAAATATCTACAGCACGCAAGTGTTGCGCGCTGATTCGGAAGGGTTGCAAGATTGTTAGGGACAATGTCGGGCAAACTGTTTTCGTGAGTCCATTCGAATATCCGGCAATCTGAGTCAATATTTGGTGCCAGAAAATGTCGGTTCGGCTTAAGTCAATATTATTACAAGTCGGTGTTGACTCATGGCTGGATGGATCAGGAAATTCACTACGTGTTGAATTTGACTTCCGGTCAAAATGGACGTTAGGCAGCGGCACTGTTCAAAACAGTGGCAAATTTTTTTGCTTCTGCAGGACGGTGGCCGATGCATTTTTGCTCCATTTGTAGACTGGATATAGTTTCGTCGCCCAGCTTCTGAGTTGAATGCATGGCGTGACCATGTGAGCTGCGGATTGCATTTGGATTGTTTTTTCGACTGTGACCAGCGTGTTGGCGTGAATTGTAGATTTAAAAAATTGCGCGATGCCTGTCGTGCAGTGTTGTGGTGCCCGTATGTGATTAAAATTGATCGCGTGGGCAACTGCTGATCTGTTGGCGACTTCTGCTACCATCAATGATGAACTGCAATTCTAATACCGATATAAACATTCTGTGTGTTTTTCGTTGGCACAGGAGCGGAGCAAAGATGGGGTTACCCGCTTGCTATGAAGCTGAAACTAAGACGACCAGACTACTAGACTACGTGTCAGCCCGGAGAGGGCGAATTGTTATACTTAGTGCGTGGATAGCAGCAGTCACACGGAAAAGTATGTAGTTCTCAATGAAGGGGAATCAGCAAAACAGTGATCGTCTTGTGTGCACGGGAAAGCGCAGAAGGGGCAGACAAGTGTATATATACTGGGGTTGAGTTCAGTTGAGAAAACAGTTGAGAGCTCGAACTGTTGAGCTAAAAACATTTGAGTTGGAAGCACTCGCGACGCACTGGTCTAGAGGACAGTCGAGAGTGCAGTCGAGGGAAGAAAAGTCCAGTTGGTAGAATTAGGCCAAGAGAGCTGAACTACTTCAAAAAGACGCTGTCTTGGCTGACGACGCATTTGAGGCCGTAGGATCACTAGTGAAAGAAGACAGCAAAAATGTCGGCGACTGGTGTGTGCCAAAAGGGACTCAGAGCCAGGAGTCTCGGTTATCGTGGTTCCTTCGATCAGGCTGATGTACTGTGTGCACATTCTGGAGACCAACTATTGTGAAGTTTCCAGTCAGCTGATGTGACTGTGTCTGCTACGCAAAGAGTAACGGAGGTCAAGTTGAGTAAGAGATGTAACCTGTTCATCCTTACAGCGAGCCATAAGGTCATAGGAGCTGGAGACCTAGGTCCTGTAGCGGTCAGCTCAGCGTGTAGTGGCAGGACTGTTTGCATCTATTGGGGATCTGAGGTGACCAGATCTCTCGGGTAGACAACCGTCAGAGGACGGTCACTGTTCACCACGAAAGGCACCTGTACTTTGCTGCAGCAAGTGACATATAACTGGCCAGAAGGATACGCGACTGTGACATTGTATCATTATTCATCCGATGCTATTGATTATCATTGTGTTTATATGCTAAATACAGTCTGTATGCTATGACGGTAGCCATTCGTTCGGGTTTTTGTATTACGGTTGAATCTGCTTTTGATACTGACCTTTTACATGAAGGGATTTTGTATCGTGTTTCACCCCAAACAGACACTTGTTGACCTTTCACGCATGCTTGGTGATTTTTTCACACATC